GGAGGGGAGAGGAGGGGAGAGGAGGGGAGGGCGGGCGGCGGGTGCGAGGGAGAGAGGGCGCTGGCCGCAGGACCCGGCCGGAGTCCACAGGTGTGGGTGGAAGGGAGAAAAGATGGAGGAGGCGTGGAGGACGCCCGAGGCCGACCCCAGATCCAAGAGGAGGGTCCAGCGGCGCTCCCGCATTCCAGGGTTGGCGGACACAGAAAACCCTGGCGGCGAGGCGCCCAGAGGCCAAGGCCACGGCGGCCGCGCTCCCTGCTGAGCGCCGCACTCGTTCTGCTCGCCTGAGCGCCTCCTGGGTACCCAGTCCAAGGTACGAGTCTCGGTCCTGCAGTCTAGAGCTCACCGCCTCTGGGGGGCTCTTCGCCGTGCCCCCGTGACGAGAGGTATGACGAAGTGCAGAGCAGGGGTGGAAGAGGCACGGTCGTGGCGATACAGTGTGGGAGGTCTGTGAGAGCAGTAGCAGAAAAAAGTGAATCATAACAGAAATGTGAACTACGTTTACCGATGATCGCGACAGTAACTTACATCGTAGATATACTTTCTTGAAGGAAACACCTTTGGAATGAATGTATTTTAACGTGATCCTTTGACACTGGAACACGAGCAGATCATGCCACCCCTCTGCTCAAATCTCTCCATACTCCTCAGTGGTTTCTGCTTTCTGTGGAAGAGCCAAAGTCTTGCCAAGGTCCTCCGTGACCTGGTCCCCTCCTTTTTTTTTTTTTTTAGTTGGAGTCTCACTCATCGCCCAGGCTGGAGTGCAGTGGCACACTCACGGTCACTGCAGCCTAGACCTGCTGGGCTCAGGCCATCCTTCCGCCTCAGCCTTCCAAGTAGCTGGAACGACAGGCATGCGCCACCACACCTGGCTAATTTTTTGATTTATTGTAGAGATGAGGTCGCACCAAGTTGCTGGGTCTGTTCTCGAACCCGCGGGCTCAGGCAATCCCTCCACCTCGGCCTCCCAAAGTGTGGTCCCTTTCTTGTCTGACCTCCTCTCCTTACTCCTCCTGCATCTACGCGGACCTCACATCAAGCAGTCTCTTGACCCCTAGGTTGGCTGGCCATTTCTATAGCCCAGATAGTTATTACCTACACTGTCAGCAAAAGCAAAATCAGCATGGTGTCAACTCATACATCCTTAGTCTCACAGGATGGCACCAAACGAGAGAGGCCAGATGAACAGGCATGAGTTCTGCCACTGAGCAGGCAACGCTAAACTACAGCCAAGGACTTTTCCAGATCCCACAGGAGCCTGCAGTTGTATCCCTGGCAACAAGGGAGTGAGAGGCGGAGGGAAGAAGATGGAAAGTCAACAGAAACTTCCGAGAAGGAAGAGAAACTGCCTTGCAGGTGTCTTCCATAAGACAGGATGTGGAACTGCCTCCATTGGCCCTTCACTAGACTTACCTTTCCCTGCTCTAGGAGAAATCACAGCAAAACTTGGGTTAGGCTGTGGCCATGCCTTACCAACATGGCCTCTGTGGAGAGGTGCAAGATCACCAGAGCTGTTCTCCTACAGTTTTCTTGCTGATGCTCACATACACCAGGCACTCTTCCACCTAAGAGTTTTGCACTGGCTGCTCCATCTGTCTGAAGTGCTCTTCCCCTAGACACATGTCTTCCCAGTTGACTCTTTGAGTCTTTGCTCAAATCTCACTTTTTTTTTAAGACAGGGTCTCCCTCTGTCACTCAGGCTGGAGTGCAGTGGCACCATCACACTTCACTGCAACCTTGACTTCCTGGGCTCAGATGATCAGTCTATGGAGTAGCTGAGTCTACAAGTGCACATCTCCATGTCCAACTAATTTAAATATTTTTGTGTAGACAAGTTCTTGCTATGTTACCCAGGCTCCCAGGCTGGTCTTAAATCTCATTTTCTTTTTCTTTTCTTTTATTGAGTCAAAGTCCCATTCTGTTGCCCAGGCTGGGGTGCAGTGGCATGCTCATGGCCACTGCAACCTCGACCTGCTGGGCTCAGGCGATCCTTCCGCCTCAGCCTTCCGAGTACCCAGAACTACAGGTGTGTGCCACCACACCAGGCTCATTTTAAAATTTTATCTACTTTTTTGATTTATTGTAGAGATGAGGTCTCGCCAAGTTGCCCAGGCTGGTCTCGAACCCCTGAGCTCAGGCAGTCCTCTCACCTCCACCTCCACCTCCTAAAGTGCTGGGATTACAGGCATGAGCCACTGTGCCCTGCAAATCTCACTTTCTTAATGAGGCCTGCCTTGACAGAGATTGTGTGGCTCACAGAACCATACGAGCTGACCCTTTAGAGATAAAGTTGGCTAACCCCTGGCCTAAAGGCTCATTCACTCATAGAGATGCTGCCTGCACTTGAATGACTTAGGGACTAGGGCTGCAGACCAGAGCACCTAAATGAGGCTTCTCCTTGGGGGTTCTGGTGTAGTTGGAAGTCTTGCATGGTAACTTAGGGCTCTAAGAGCAAGCATTCCAGTGAATGAGAAGGAAGTCTCATGACTTTTTAGGACCCAACCTCGGAGGTCACACAACTCCAGTGCATCACACTCTCTTGTTGGAAGCAGTCACAACCCCATTCTTGTGGAGAGGAGCCATAGACCCCTAACCTCTTAATAATATAAATGTCAAAGAATTTGCAGTTATGTTGTAAAATGGCCACAAATACCAAAAGTTAGCTAAAGTGAGATATTAGCTCCACAGTATTAATTTCCCACTCACTGTGCATCCAAATGATACTGCAATTTAATATCCTAGTTATTCAACTTGGTGCACTGGTTCATACCTGTACTCCTAGCACTTTGAGAGGCCGAAGTGGGAGGGTTGCTTGAGGCAAGGAGTTTGAGACCAGCCTGAGCAACGTAGCGAGACCCCAATTTCTACCAAAAAAAAACCTTAATTATCAGTTAAGAGTCACCAAATGCAGCTCACTGCCTGTTTTTGTATTACCTACAAGCCAAGGTAACCATTTTTTAGTGGTTGGGGGGAAATTTTTTTTTAATTTTTAATTTTAAAGATGTGGGGTACAATTCAGGGTTAGGTATTCAAATGTTCATTATGCAGGTACCCTTGTTGATGAGATGTGCCCCCCTCAGCAGATTCTCGCTACTGCCTATTCCGCCTCCCCCTCCCCCACTTCCCTGGTAGTTTCCCACTACTGCCAATCTTTTTCTTATAATAATTGTTCAAGGTCCTCTTTTTTTTTTTTTTTTCGAGTTGGAGTCTCACTCTGTCGTCCAGACTGGAGTGCAGCGGCCGCTCCTGGCCACCACAGCCTCGACCTGCTGGGCTCTGGCAGTCCTTCCGCCTCAGCCTTCCAAGTAACCGGAATTACAGGCATGCACTACCATAGCCAACTGATTTTTTGATTTATTGTAGAGATGAGATCTCGCTGCCCAGGAGGGTCTTGAACCCGCGGGCTCAGGCAATCCACTCACCTCAGCCTCCCAAAGGCGCGGGATTACAGGCTGAGGCACAGAGCCCGGCTTCAAGGTCCTCTTATGAGTCAGAATGTATGATACTAAGTTCTTTATTTCTGTGATAGATCACTCAGTATTATAGACTCTAAGTCCATCCAAATTGCTGTGAAGTTCATAATTTTGTCCTTATTTATGGCTGCATAATATTCTATCATGTATACGTACCATAATTTTTTTACCCAGTCTTCTTTTGATGGGCAGCACGGTTGGTTCCATGTTTTTGCTGTTGTGAACTATTCTGCAATAAACATATGTGTGCAGGTATCTTTTTCACAGAGTGATTTAAGTTCCCCCAGGTATATTCCCAGTAGGGGGATTGCGGGGTCATATGGAAGATCAATTTTTAGATCTTTTAGGAAACACCAAACTGTTTTCCATATTAGTCTATACTCCCACCAGCAGTGTAGAAGTGTTCCTTTTCCCCCACATCCTTTACAGCATCTGTTGCTTTCTGAGTTATTGATGATGGTCGTCCTGACTGCAGTTAGGTGTTATCTCAGTGTAGTTTTAATTTGCATTTCTTTGATAACTAGTGAGGCTGAGCATTTTTTCATGCATCTGTTGGCTGCTTATATGTCTTTTGAGAAGTGTCTATTCATATCTTTTGCCCATTTTGTAATGGGGCTGTTTGTTTTTTCTTTCAGCATGTTTGAGTTCCTTGTGGATCCTAGATGTTAGGCCTTTGTCAGACATACAGTTGGCAAATACTTTTTCCCAGTATGCAGGCTGTCTCCCCGCTCTCTTGATGGTTTCTTTGGCTTTGTAGAAGCTTGTCAGTTTGATGAGGTCCCATTTGTCTATAATTATTTTTTTTTGCTGAGGATTGTTTTGGCTATTCATGGTTGTTTATATTTCCATGTAAATTCCTGTATTATCATTTCCAGGTCTGAGAAGAATGCTGCTGGTAATTTAATGGGTATTGGGTTAAATCTGTAGATTGCCTTGGGTAGAATGGACATCTTAACAATGTTGATTCTTCCAATCCATGAGCATTTCCATTTGTTTGTGTCATCTTTGATTTCTTTGAGCAGTGTTTTGTAGTTTTTGTTGTAAATGTCTTTCACGTCTCTGGTTAGGAAGATGACAAGGTATTTCATTTTTTTGGTTGCTATTGTGAATGGGATTATATTTTTTTATTTGGGTTTCTGTTTGTTTATTGTTGGTGTATAGAAATGCTACTGTCTTTTGCACCCTTATTTAATATCCTGAGACTTTGCCAAAGTCCTTTATCAATACAAGGAGGTTTTTGACAAATTCTCTTGGGTTT